CAACATGGTGGTGCCTACCCCTGCCTTGTGCTTCAGGGGGTCAGGCGCTGGCAGCAGTGAATGATCTGGCCCCAGCCCACTCTGCTCCCAGTTCCCAGCATTGCTGGGGCCTTCGGGGAAGAGGTTGAGTGGGGGCGGGGTGGGAAGAGGCGGGGTGGAACAGGGTTGCTCGCTGCTTTCAGCACCAGGAACCCCACTAACCCCCCAGGCCGCCCTGGACCCCGCATCCCCCTGAAGCACAAACTGGCGCAGCCCGCTAGGGTGCTTACCCTGGCGAGCCGCGTGCCAAAGGTTGACAATCTCTGAACTAACACAAGTTATATTTTGTGTTAAAGAGAAAAATCTTTGTCCTATCAGTTTTGAGGGAGCCCATCCCACCCCCAATTCCCATTTTGGCAAAGCTGATAAAAACTAGGAAATCTTTCCATAGATTCCTCATGTCTAATCCTTAGTCTAATGATTATTCCTAAATAAAGTACAGTTGAAAGAGTTGAAAACCAGGAGGATCCTATTGGACAACAGAGTGCAAATCGTTTGCTGACAAGACTTCTTTGCATCAAAAGCTATACTGTCTCTATGATCAGGCCCAGAGGATTCAGCTCCAAAATGCTCAGCAGATTACTCTTAGTAAGGAGGAGTGGGCAGCTGAATATTCACAGAGCTGTTTCTATCCGAAAGAACCCCTTCCAGTCTCAGGTTTTGTGGAACCACAAGCTCTGGAGCCTGGCAGACCAGCCCTGCTCCGTGAAGGGGAGTTGCATATTACACAGGGAGCACCGGCTTCCCACTATCTTTTTGTGCAGAACTGTTGCACTTTTGGGAAGGGGAACATGCCACAGAGTGTGGCCATTCCCAGGAGCAGCACCAGCGTTTTTGCTGCACTAGGCAGCAACGCTCCTCCTCTGAGCATTCGGAGGCGGGGGTCCTTCCGCTCTACGTCTTCGGGGCACTTCGGCGGTGGGTCCTGGAGCGAGTCAAGGACCCGCCGCCAAATTTCCACCGAAGACCCGGAGCGGAAGGACCCCCCCGCCGCCGAATTTCCGCCGAGGGTGGCAAAATGCCGCCCCCCAAATCCTGCCACCCTAGGCGACCGCCTAGGGTCACCTAGTGGAAGCGCCAGCCCTGGCCATTCCCCATCCACTTCCCTCTGCCCCTGGACAGGTAAACATACTGAATATAACTACTTACTCCTTCCATATGGTCCCATGTGGAATACACATGGATTTGTTCCCCTCTGTATCGGGCATGCTGGCCCTTATGCTGCCCAGGGAGTCAGAGTTCATAGTTAACAGTCTCTAGAAGATGAGCCCAGATCTCAAGCTCCAGCATTTTGCTGTTCATATTACTTTGCACTTCTATACCTCTTCACCCATGGCTCACAAAGTACTTTACAAAGATATATAATGGCCAATATCCACAGTCTAAGGGCTGGTCTACACTGGGGGGAGAGGGGGAATCGATCCAAGATACGCAACTTCAGCTACGCGAATAGCGTAGCTGAAGTCGAAGTATCTTGGATCGAATTACCTGGGGTCCACACGGCGTGGTATCGACGGCCGTGGCTCCCCCGTCGACTGTGCTACCGCCGCTCGCTCTGGTGGAGTTCCGGAGTCGACGGTGAGCACGAGTGGCAATATATCGATCGATATATCGATCCCGGATAAATCGATTGCTACCCGCCGATACGGCGGGTAGTGAAGACGTACCCAAAGGCTAGGAAAGCTGAAGCACAGAGCTGTCAAATGACTTATTGAGGCTCTCACGCTCAGCAGCAGAGTGAGTAACAGAAATCAGGACTCTGGAATCACAATCTAGCACCCGTGCCAGCAATGCCCCTCTGCAATGTACATTGGCAAAACTGGACAGTCACTACGCAAGAGGATAAATGGACACAAGTCAGATATCAGGAATGTCAATATACAAAAACCTGTAGGAGAACACTTCAACCTCCCTGGCCACACAATAGCAGGTGTAAAGGTTGCCATCTTACAGCAAAAAAACTTCAGGACCAGACTCCAAAGAGAAACTGCTGAGCTCCAGTTCATTTGCAAATTTGACACCAT